ACTTTTCAGCAGTTGAACAGCAAAGCCTATGGCATTAGCTGTGTAATAGCAGATTCTCAGGAAAGATTTTATGTCATTAGCCTTAACAAGTCATCTTCAACAGACAACTGATGCACATTTGTCGTAAGATTCTGTAAGAAACAAAATGGCATCGATGTGACGGTACTGGGTGCCCTGGCATATAAACCAGCAGGTTTCACTGCCTTCCTGATAGGAGCAATATAGACACATGTGCTCAGCAGAGTTGCCATGCTGTTGCTCTGTCCTAGCATTTCCTTCAGTTTTAACCACATGGATGGCATCTAATTAATTTCAAAGACTTTGTTATCCTTGTATCTCTTGTGCCACTACTCCAAAATGTGTATGTAAATCTGAAAATGTTATTACAGATTTTGGGGAAAGCTATCTTAAAAATCAAACCAGCTCACACCAGTAAACCTTTAGGGCTTTTTCTCATCTTCACTTTATCCGTAAGTCTCAACGTTTATATCAGAAATCATTCTGTGGTGGTCAAGAAATACCTGAATTAATAATTTTCTTTCTCTCCAGCCTATTTTGCCTTCCTCATTGGAAGGCTGTCCAGTCTGGATAGCTGTGAATGAAGATGGTATCAGCATACTGGATTATAACACAATGGTATGTTGAAGAAGCATAAAAAGAAATTCCCCTGAGTCCAGTGAAAGTCACTAACAGTTTGTCTTTAACTTCAAATGGATCCAGTAGTTTGTAAAAGTCAGAGGGAAGTCAGTGTTATGTTTGAACACTCCATAGACAAAGGAAAATTACAGCTGCAGTGTAAGGTAGGGCAGCAAGCATGTTCATACATCTTGCAAAATCTCAGTGGTGTGTGCTTTACTACCACCATCTGGAATATAACAAAATCTGTACTCTGAAGTAGTGAGGCATTGAGCACACCAGGAGAGAACTAGAAACATGATCTCACTTGAGCTTTCTGTGCCAACTCTAACCTATAGAGCCATCTACTGCCCTTCACTGCTGGAGACCTGGTGTTCTTGCAGGAAGTAGTAATAATCTGTTAGTTTAAGGTAGACATTTGGAGTTTTTCCCAGAATTATGACTTTTTCAAACTCTGTCTGCAGCATTTGAAGGTGTCTTATTCATACTCCTCTGTGCTGACCTTTGGAGGCTGTCGAGATGACTTCATGATTGTAGTCAGTCAAATGAAAGAAAGAAGTTCTGGAAAAAATAGCACTGAAAAACTCCTCTTCACAATGGCAATTCCAAAGGTAATTACAAATGAAAAGTGAGTTTCTTTCCAGCTGGCAGCATCAGGGCTGGGTGTTTTGTACAAGCCCTGGGGACTGGTACTTGTGACCGCTGCACTAGCTATATATGTTCAACAAATCCTTTGTAAGCTGGAACCTTTTAGCAAGAGATTTATTCTACCTGACTCTTAGAGCTTCATTTTAAAACAGAACAATTCCATGGGAGAAAGCCATTTACAAAAGCTATGTGATCAGTAGATTCTAAAAATCAAAGGGCATTCTTATCTCTAATTGACCTTCAGTTAATAATTTTCTCTTTTCCCCAGATTGTTGAAGCAACACTTCTGATTGCCAGCTACATTAACTATCGTTCAACTCCTTCACTGCTGTCTTCCACACAGCCCTCACGAAGCAAAACACCTGCTAAGAAGCTCTGGGAGACTGAAAACCGGTGCTTTTTTCCTTCTGTGCCCCGAAGCACAAAGGGGCCCACCCTGCTCTAAGGGCTTGTTCCGTATCAGCTGATTTTGTTGGTTTTATACCACAGATTAATGCAGGCTCTGATGCTTTTTCCATAATAATAGACAAAGTTCCTTAGAGGTAGTGTACTTTCTCTTAAAACAGAAAAAAACCCCAATATTTATTTGGGGGACTGTGCAGGAGTTTTCCTTTCCATGACACATTCCATCCAAAATACCATTCCTCAGGTCATTTGCCTGCACAGTGCTCCAGTCATTACATCTGCACTCATTCTTCTATCTCCTACTGTACTGCCTTGCTTCACAAGTACATTTTTTTGGATCCCTCCCATTTTTAGCTTTCAAAAGACAGAAACTTTTGTGTCCTTGCTGAGACATGAAAGAAAGTCATTGCTGAGAAGGAAGAGGAATTAAACTCACAAGAATAATACTGATGCAAGTCAAGGGTGATTTCAGACCTGAAATAGGGAGTATAGAATTTGAGTTCAGCAGTAATTAAGAGTATTTTCAACTTTAAATAAAGGTGGAAGCTTAGGGTCTTTGCATGTTGAGTGCTCAGAACAACTGGGACTGGAACAGTGTCAGAGGATGCCCTGGCACCTACAGGACCCATGCATTTTGGAATCTGATGCTGTTCTATGCACCAGGTGAACATTAGACTGTTGCTGCAGGGCAGGGCTCAGTGTGCCACGTGCTCCACTGCTAGACAAGCACTTTTGAAGACTTTCTGATAACCACTGTTGTAGATGTGTTTGGAACTGCACATTATCTCGGACAAAGGAAGACAAGGCAAACAAATTTGGTACTTTTTCTGTCTTTCAGCAACTAGAACAGATCTTCCCAGACAAGCTCTGCCATTCTGACTTGACAGAAGCTGCTTCTTTCAAACTCCTGCTTCCTTCATGTACCATAAGCAAGGAGGAGGTAGTCAGCAAATGTGTACTCACGTTCTTCTGACTTTCCTAAGGAATGTTGGTAGGTTTGATTTTTTTTTTTTTATCTGTTTCAAAGGTACTTCATTATGAGAAGGCTATTGAATTTTAAACAAATAAAAGAAAAATTGCAATTCTTCATAAAAAATCAAAATCTACTTAGTTTAAGTTCAGCTATTTTGATAAGCATTATAAAAAAGCCAAGGAAGAATAACTGCACTTTGAAAAGTACTATGTCCAACTTCATAATAATTATGCATTCATGGGCATCCTTCCCAAATTAAAACAGAGTGAATCCAACCACTAGACAGAAGTCAGTAATAGCCAACCAGTTATTTGCAAATAAACAAACCAACCATACTAGGGAATTTTTTTACTCCCTAGTACCTGCCACCAACCATGAGACATCCAACTAATGCACACGGGGAGCTGATAACATCAAGAGTTTTTTTCATGCTTATGGTAGATGCAAAGCCACAGACTAAAAGAGAAGGGGGCAGACAAAAATTGTTCTAAGCAATCCCTCATCAGCATCTTTATAATATAAAACAGAAAACCCCAAACAACCAAACAAACTCAACCCCAAACCACCCCATGGTGAGTTATAGAAACAGTATGGCAGGCCTAAGATAGGAAAAGATTGTATGAACAGTGACCAGATTTGCACATACTGTAATGTACCCACTTGTAAGAATTTAAAGACCATCCCTTGAAGATACAGAAAAGGGTAGAAGCTTTCTGAGCCAAAAATAACTTTAAGAAGGTATTTAGTAATTTTTGTTTTCCCTCAGATACTTTTCCAGTCTCTTATCTATTCTGATACTAGTTTTTATTTTCCCTCTCTCTCACAATTATCTTAGTACAGCTGTGCCAGTTTGAATACTGGAATACTCCTCCTCACTCTATCACCTGGGCCTAACAATTTCTCCTGTATCTGAAGGTCTGTTTGACAGTTTGCTTCTGGTATCCCACCAGTAACAAAATGCTTCAGAATAGGCTGGAGCTGTCATCAGTGCTGGGGATGCTCAAAGCATAGAAGCCTCCAGTTCACAGGCTGTATTTCCTCACAGTGCTAACACTCATGTCCCCAGAGACTTGAGGAGACTTGTACCAGGGCCAACAGGAAACAGAGATGTTAAGTAAACAGCAGCTGTCCTGAATCTCATTATTTTCTGTCACAATTGCACTTTAAATTGAGAAGCATGGTACACAAAACTTTCTCTTTTTCTTAAAAATATTCACCAATACTTGAGTGTTTCAGGGACCACCCCACTCTGATGGATGCACATGCCACTCCTATTTATAACTTACCTGTCTTCAAACACCCACCCTGTGTAGATACCTACTTTGTATGATTCTTTGGTAGAGAAAAGAATTTTTTTATTTTAATCAATGCTTTTGGCAATGACTGTTAATGAAGCATAGAATGAGATGACAAAAGCCTTTATGTTCCTAACTGCTGTGTGTAAGTAAAAGGCTGTCTGGAAGATACAATGAGATTTCTGTTTGTTCTTAATAAAATACAGCTTGTGAATTAATAACCATGAATTTAATGTGTATTATTCTCAGAATGAAAGAGACTATTTTAAAAGCCAAAATATTCTTGATGTAAACAAAAATCAACATCGATTGTGTTTGGTATCCAGGCACAAACCATAGCTGGTACAAACCTGCCCTAGACCGATCCTTTGTTTCTCTCTGCTGGTCTCTCAGCTGAAAGTGGATGACTTCACCATGGGCACAGAAAGTTCAAATGATCTCCTTCATGAGATTGCTAAAACAATCTTTCAGACTTCCTGCTGCAACACACAGCTTCTTGGTAATTTCATCAGTGCACATTCTGAGGACTTCATGGGATTTTTACAGCATAGTCAGCATTCCCAGCATGCTCTTGAGCCCATGACTCTGTGCACTCTCTTGAGACATCTTTTCTTTTGACACAAAAGCCAGTGGCACATCCCCAAGCTGCTGCCTTTCACTTGGACAATCAGAATACTTCCTGTGACATGAGCTAATCTCTGTCTTTCAAACTTTATGGCACCGTGGGGAAAAAACCCACAAATCCCCTTATCTCTATTGCATGATGGTATGGTGCCAAGTGTTCATTTACAGATAATGTGGACAAGCATGGTACAACACCATATGCAAAATAAGCATGAATCCAGGCTCCTGCCAACTTGTGGTTTAGCTCTTGTTTTGACACTTCAGTCACCTCATTTATATTACTATATATATAGAGTGTATATATATATATTCACTATACAGTTGTGGACTATAGGGAGAAAAATACCCATTAAATGTTAAAATAACTTTCAGCTTATCAACATAGAATTTCCCAACCTTAAGTTACTATTAAGATCACAGATCAATAAAACTTTTATTCACATTACCACCATTTTCAACAACACATGTGCCTCACATTCTCAGAGTAACAGATGTGGCCCTTTAAATGCCACAACTTTTCCATGTCCTGTGTCAACAAGCCCTGCCCCATTTAGCAGTGGGTTCACATTTTTCCTGTGTTCCTTTTGATAGTTAAGCACTTACTGAAACCATTCTTGTTGCCTTTGACATCCTTTAACTGATTCATCTGCAGCTGGGCTTTAGCTTCTCTAACTACGTCTCGAACAGTGTTGCTACATTCCTCCCAAATTACCTGTCCCTAATTCCACCTTCTGTCTACTTGCATTTTGTGTTCAAGTGTTGCTAGGAGCAGCTTGCTCATCCATGCAGGCTTCCTGGCATTTCTGCTTGACTTCCTGCTCATTGGGATGGACTGTTCTTGATTTCAGAAGAAATTATCCTTGACTATCAGCTTTTGCAGATCCTTCTTCCCTCTAGGGCCCCATCCCATGGGACTCTTTCAAGCAGCTCCCTGAAGAGGTCAGTCTTCAGATCTCTTATGTTTATTTAATTAAACATAACTGAATGCAAGAGTTAAATTTTCTGTTTTTGTCCTTATGAAATTCTCCAGTGATCAGGAAGGTACTCTCTGAGCCCACACATCAGCTTTAGATGATATCTAGGTATTTAGAGTGTGTTCTTCAAACAAAGGGTTAAATAAAAACCAAAGAATGCATACTTATGGCAGTCCAGCCAAGGTTATTTTTTAATTTTAGCATAATTTTTTGATGCAAGAAAGAGTAAAAAATTGATGCATTTTCTTATCTCCCTTTTCCCTATTTCCCCATAATTCTTTTCTGGAAAGACAAGAGGCAAGAGCCTTCCGGCTGAGCCTAAACGTTCTGCTCATGGAGCAGTTTTGTTTGCTTTTCCATGTCTCCCTCTGAGTCCTGCTGAAAGTCTGCTGCTTTTTTCAGCTATTTGATTTCACTTGATTGTGGAGCTGTCTTCCTCTGCTCCAGGATCTCTTGACAACTTTTGTACACTTCTATCAAGCAGTCCAGTCGTGGCTGGGAGCTCTAGAAGTCAAACAACAGAGAATCAGGCTCTGAACTGAAACACCAATTAATTTTACCCAAACAGCAACAAACAGTGGTCAAAGTACAATGATTTTTCATCAATTCTAACCTGGACCAGATTAAAACCAGCAAGGAAGTGAAGGTTTCACGGTCCCACAGTCCCTATGATCCTATAACTTTTGAGCTCCCAAAACAGCATTACTGTGTAAAGTCCATCAAATGCTTCCTTGCAAGAGTTGCTTAAGAGAACAAAAGGTCGATTCAGTGCAGTAGGGCTCCTGGGCTGAGTGGCATGGGAAATTGTATTTTTGAAGGCTGATATATCTTAGATAAACCCAATGAAGGAGACACAATAAAGTTACTAATCACTGCTCCTTCAACTAACATACTAACTTACATGTTAAAATAATTACAGACAGGTACTGAATTTCAAAATGGAAGAGTTCCATGCCACCTTTGCTGCTGGAGTCAACTCTACCAGTACTAAAGTATTTCCATGAAAACAAAACTGTTCAGAGTTGAAAGGTAAAAAAAAAACCAACCAACCCAAAAACAGATGCCAGGCAGACCCTTTGAACATGGAAAGGAGCATAACTAAAATCAGGTACTTCAATGCAACTATTTGGAATTTAGTATTTGTGGATTTCCAGCAAATCTACTTTTTCCCTTGTCTATATGAGAAATACCTGATTTTTATTATTGTTACTAAACATCTTTACAATTGTGGGACTGAGTTAGCAGCAAGTATCAATGGAATAGACTATTTGTACTCCTAAGTATTTAGCTGAAGACTGACCATATCCAGTCACAAACTGTACACAGATTACAAAACAATCACCAGCAGCAGGTGAATTAAGGACAGAGAGGACTGTACAGCTCAGCAGTCTAAGAAGCGAGGTGCTTCAGTTCTGCTTAACAACCCCCGAGGATAAGGGCAGGTTGTGTTAGGCATGAACACACACAAAGCAAATCCATTCCAAAAATGAGATTATGAACAGTCAGAACATGTTAGCAAGGGAAGAATGAGGGGAGACGAGGTAACGGCAACACAAACAAGTTATTATACATTAATCAAATTGGTCATGGCTTGTACCATGATCATTGCCAGCAGGTCAGGCAGGGGAAGTCATCCCAATGCCAAGGAGCTTTTATGAGAACTTTTGGTACACAGAGCTGAGAGAAAAATCAACTGCAGCACCGTGCCAGAGTTATGGTGGTAACCCTGAGCACAGGACTGCACAGAAAGCTCTACAAGTCCTCAGCACCCTATGTGAGCCAAAGACTTCTAGTTCATGCAAACTCCTGGCTGGGTTCAGATTGACACAACTCCCTGTTGTTTGAATGGAGAGCAAATGAAAAAAACCATCCCTAGTATATGGTTCTGTGAGACTTCAACCCACCCACCCTGACCGCTCAGCCAGCTAAAGGAAACTGTCATCAGCTACCTGTAGTGGAATAAAAATATGCTTAGACAAGTGGAGCACACACAGAGACCACAATGTGGATTCCTCCACCATTCAGTCAAACTCACCTGAAAGAGTGGCACAACCTCAGATACTCCCTGAGGATCTTCAGGGTCCTGGAGGAGGATACACAGGTAGTAGATAACTTTTTGCTACAAGACAAACAGGCAAAAATCACTGGAGTATAAAAATGCTACAAAACTGCCTGGAATTAGCACAGAAATAGGATCTGTTTCAACTCACTGAAAGGCTGAAGGCAAATCCTGCCAGGTCACACTCAAGTCTACAAATTTGTATCAATAGCTTTCACTCAATAAAGAAATAATTTTACTTTTTCTATTAAGTTTTTAACCTGAAAAGAATATACATATGCTGGAAGGGTAAGGTCTGCTTTTCCACAGGAACTTTGCAGAAAACCCTGCAATAGGAAAAAGCATTGTTTGTGTTGTCTTAGTTTCTCATCCCCATCTTGACTACGTAAGAAGTTGTGCACCAGGATTTGTAAGTACAGCATAACACAAAGAACTAAACCCACTAGCTCAATGCCAGTGGCACTATCCAAGGGAGGGATTTGGCTTTCTGAGGCTATTTGTTTGGTTTGAGTTCTCCTTTAAAGGCAAGAGATGACAGAATAAGGAGAAAAATTGTAAATAAAGCTCCTGGTGTCAGTAAAGCTCTGGATGGTGCTGTTTAATTGCTCTGGCAAATCATGCTCATGAAAATACACTGGATGTGAGTGTGCCCAGACACAAGAAGACAGAGTTTGTATGATTACCATATGGATGGCTTCATTGATAACCACATCCTTCACTTGACCCATCTCAATGAAGGTTGTGCTCTCTTTCCCTGAGGCATAGGATGAAGTCACCTGAATGCCAAGTGAGCCGATGACCAGCAGGGATTCCTGGTCAATCTTCACAAAGTGCAGGTATATGATCAGGCCAATCAGCGTGATGAAGATGGCTGCAGAGAGCACCATGCTGTTCTGTAACACAAACCAAGAAAAGGCAGGGTTCTGCTCTTACAATTACTTTAACACAGCTTTAGAGAAAGTAAAATTGCACAGTAAATTGTATATTAAAGCTACAGGTGCAAAGCATTTTTACTTAGGTGGAGTCCTTTTATTCACCTGGCTTGCTGATATATATGTAATGAGGTTTAAACCAGTCTTCACAGTATGCACTGAAAGAATTGGGAGCTGAAGCGGAAAACTGCAAGAAAATTCTAGTCCCTTCCACATTCAATACAGAAATCTCAATCCAAACAAGCCCATTATATCAGTGAGAGTGTATTGTACCAACTTCTATAAAGATGATGGCACTGACAAAGAAGTGTTGTGGAATGTTTACAAGAACCAAGAGTGGATTCTCAGAGCAGAGGAACCCTCCTTCAGGAAAACCTAGTGGTTTTCTTATTTTGAACTGTCAGTCTAAACTTGTTCAAACCTCACCCTCTTCTTGCCTTAAATACAAATCCAAAGAAAATTTGCTTTAGCCTGTACTTTGTATAAGGATCAATGTCTTTTGCATCATTTTGAGATTGCTGTTACATTTTAATATAAAACTGATGACACTATAGTCACCAGTAAGTCATCTGAAGACGTGGTAATACATTCTAAAGGTCCACAACCTACAACCTGTTTCTGGGACATGTTTTAGAGAACTCCAGGACACCTACCCATGAATAAGAGTTATAACTGACGCTTCCTAAAGAACCAGAACTGCACAGCCCTACCACTGTCAAGCTGGGCCTGTACCACCATGCGAGCCATGAAGCTTCAGGAAATACATGGGACTTCTCCAAAAGTTTGTTATCACAGGGGAAAAAAGACAGTCATGAAGTACAGACACTGAAATCCACAAAAAGAGAGACACTTTCAGACCTGATTTCCTGGCAAAAGGAAGAATTGCGGTCACTTGCATGCAGGCTGCAAGAGCACGTGTAAAGGCAAGCAGGAGGGCAGTGGTAACCACTGACTGCATTGTATGCTTTTGTAAAAAACTCTACTCAAACATGAACCATCTTTTCCTATCAGACTCCTGATAACTGACTCATAATGCAATCTCTATCTTCATTTCCTAGGAAAGATTACTGAAAAAAAATGATGTGCAACTCAAAGCATGGGTCACATTTGGTCAAGCTACTGACTTCAGTCTGGACATAACTGGTCTGGGTTGAGTTTTTGATAAATCCAAAAGCATTACTTTAGAAAACAGCAGCTTTTGCAATCTGTACTGCAAGTATTTTTCTGCCTCAGCTGTGAAAAGTGATGACATTCATAGTGCAGTGCTCTCTGAGTCACTCAGAAAAATTCCTTTTGGGGATTAACAGTCATTCACCTTCTTCAATTCCTCCTTAATTCTAGATTCTCACAACTCATCTCTCAAAGTAAGCACGTGTTATTTGGACTCACAAGCACGTGCCAGACATCACTCAGCACCCAGACAAACATCTACCCTATCTGTCAAGATGCTACAAACCAACAGAGGCGCCCGAGGAGCCACCGGGGCAAGCAGGTGGCAGCCCGCGGCCTTCAGCCTCTCCCTTAGCCACCACACACCATCATCTCGGCGTTCCCCGGGCGCGGGGGATGCCCCGGAGCGGCGCTCAGCGCCTTCCCGCGGGCTCCGGCCGCCCTCCGTGCCCCGGGCACCGCTAGCCGAGGTTGCTCCAGGAACACGAGCGGCCACCCAGCCCGCGGGACTCCCCCGGGCGCCCCGGTGCGACAG